GAGAGAGAGAGAGAGAGAGAGAGAGAGAGAGAGAGAGAAAATATCAATCCAGGAGGTAAGACATCAAATCCAGAAGGTCCATCATCTTTCTGGGGTTCCTGAAAAAAATAACAAAATATTGTGAGAACTAAAATATCTATTATCCAGGTATGGTGGCTGTTGTGGCTCATATCTAGACATCCCCTGAGGCCTCATGCACTCACAGGTGGAGCTTCTGGGAGTGACTGCATCTTGGGTGTGTGACACTGGATTGGTCCACTGACGGATTTATGGCTGGGTGTGATGTTGGTGAAGCCTGGTGGGAAGCGGTGGGTCACTGTGGGCATATCCTGGAAGGATATCTCTATCCATCCGTCCTTCTGCCTGTCACACCATGATCTATTTCTCCTCTGCCATGCTGGCCTGCTGTGGAGCCAGCCAACTATGGACTGAAAACTCTACAAACTGTGAGTCCTTATATAGCCTTTCCTCTTTTCATTTGCAGGTGTTGGGTATTTTGTCTCGGCAACAATAAAGTAACTACGAAAGTGGCATATGCTTGTAATCCCAGCACTCTGGGAGGGTGAGGCAGGAGGATCATAGTAAGTTCAAACCCAGCCTGGGTAACTTGCTGAGACCCTGCCTTAAAAATTAAAAGGGGATAGTTAAAATTTAAAATTTAAAATCTCAGTGTGAAGGCCCTGATTTCAACCCCAGTAGCATTAAAAAAAAAAAAAGGATAAAAGGGAAAATATCTATTAAAAAAAAAAGAAAAAATTTCAGATTCTCCAACTGAACAGGCTCCTCAAGTATGCGGTACAATGAATGAAAAGGTGATTATCTGGTCACAACAGTGAAAACCATTAGCTTTTCACAGTTTTCAGTGATCTCACATATTGTCTTGCCTTTTCAATGAGTCTGAAGGTTCAGTGGCTTGTTTTGCAGACATGGAAACAGATACTCTGAATGGAAACTCTGAGGGTGATTTTCCTCCCAAATCTTTCACAGATAAGATCCCACAGCTGATTAACAGTCAGGTGTGTTTGTATGTGAATGTGTATGTGTGAAAGCACAAGCTATTTGGAATGCATGTCCTGTTTCCTGAAATAAATGATTTGCTCTCAAAGATAGAGTATGTGGCTAGAAGTCGTTTGCCATTTCCCCAGGTCAAATGTGAAATGCTTTGTCTGGGTCAGCTATGTAGCTGACTGAAATGCCACCACACCTGGAGAAGACAGATATGATGTAATTAATGATAATTATGTTACAGTTGCAGTGATAATTTTGCAACTTGTTTGCCTAAATACCTTTGAGCTTAGTGACTACAGTCACCTTTTTTGTGTGCTTCCTCATGTAAGCAAGGTTTTATTATACTGTATCTTTATGATTTTCAGTTTCCTCTTGGTAGGTGTGGGCTTGGGGAACCCTCTCCCATTTTCCTTCTGATACTGTAAATTACAGAATTCTGTTACAGAATAAACAAGACAGCACAAACTAAATAAATCAACTGCCTCAAAGAAATGAGTATTCAGTGTCTATTTCCAAATGCCAAGGGCATCCAAGTAGGTAAAAGGACATGAGTGAAATTGCATGGCCCTTCTCTTTACCAAATCTTCCAGGGAGTAAAATGGGAGATGGGTTTTGTAACAGTATTAAAAAATGGAGATGGACAGAACATAAATGGAAAGTTGAAGACCTTGTTCACCAGACTGGTGTACTGTAACTTCCTGCAACCACAGTCTTTGTAGAAACGGCTGTGGCTATGAAGAAGTCTGCTGTCTTAGCTGCTGGGGACTGTGCTGGGAATGAAAACTACAGCAGTTAGTGGTGGTGACCACAACCCAGAAGCTGAAACCATACTCCAATTTTGCACAACACTGCTGGTTCTGACTGTTTTTATTGCTTATGACTTTTCATTTAGATTGCAAGGATTACAGTGTGTAAAATAACATTAAAGAGACTGAAGAAAATCACTGAGCCAGCAGTCATTTGTACTAACCCATCAAATGTCAGTAGGAACGTTCTCTGTTATTAACAGCCAGTACAACTGTGGAGATCAAAAAGGGAGGGAGCATCCAAAGTGGCTCCACAGAAGGCTATGAAGAATGAAAAGGAAGGAGAAAGAAAAGAGGAGGAGGATAAAGAGAAATGAGTCTTCATTTGAGAAAAAATATAGATAACATTTATTTATGTGAACATCTTGACTAATCTGGGGATTAGAGACATGGTAAAGAAAATGGTCAGAGCTTATTATAAAATAAAACTAACTACCAGCCTTATTGGGCCAATGTGCTATTGAGAATTGGCTACTAAAGCTCAACAATGTATAGTCTTTTCATCTAAAAACTATTCTTTGTTTGGGGGCTGGGGATTTAGCTCTGTGGTTCCACCACATGCTCGTAAACGCAAGGTCCTGAGTTCGATCTCCGGTACCAAAAACCAAAACAAAACAAAACGAAACTATTTTTTGTGAGAAATAAAACTAATAATTTTAATGAAAAAGTGGACTGAATTTCCAGTAGGAATTCCAAAATGAAATGTGTCTTCTTTAGCCTCAAGTTCATCAACAGCAACCTATACTGGCACTGAGACTCAACATTTCTTTTCTATATCAGCTATGATTTATCATTTGACTTTAAACATAGTATAGATAAAGCCAGATTTATTAAAATAAGTGAATGAATGTAGAGTTTTGCTCTGTAAAACTTTGATACACCAAACCAATTTGCATCCTATTGTTTATATTTGGGAAGCACATCAAATTTCAGAAAGAATCCCCTACCCCAGGACAGTTGAAATGTGATGGTTGCTGAACAAATAGTGTGCACACAGAGGATGACATTTTTAATGTAATTTATTTGAAATGCTTCCAGAAAAGTTTAAGGCCATTATACAAAAACATTCATTCCATCCAAACATTCAGTGACTTCATTCTCATAGGCCAGCACTTGACAAACCTCTTTTCTCGGTACATTGGCCAAAGTGGCTAATGGCTCTTCAAAGAATGATTCATTCTTTTCCCACCATCAAAGGACTTTTCTCTGCTTTTATCTGCATCAGGTTCATTTACCTGCTAAATCGTATCTTGAGAAACAAAGTAGTTTTAAATAAACTTGTAATAGAAAAAATTCACCATGTTTAAAATCTATAAATATGTTTTACAGGGTAAAACTGACCATAGTATTTTTTGCTTTTGAAAAATAATAATGTAATATACCTTGTTTTTTTTAGCATTAACTCTTGTTATACAGCTTCTTTGAATGCACATGATCTATGTACACAATAAAATGCTGCTTTCTTTTCTGTAAACTTGAAAGACACAGAAGATTAAAAAAAAATTTTTGGCAATAATTTAGAATCATTACTATTAGTGCTGGTGTGACTATAATTTTGCACAGGTCATTCTAAATATTTACAATCACAGGGAGCTCTTCTGAGTATTTTGTTAACTTTTTTTTTTTTTTTTTTTTTTTTTTTTTTTTTTTTTTTTGGTGCCGGGGATCGAACTTGGGACCTTGCGCTTACAAGGCAGGCGCTGGAACCGCTGAGCTAAATCCCTGGCCCTTGTTAACATTTTTTTAAAGGTCTGCAAGCCACTCTGTTCTGTTAATCAAGGCTGGACAAAGAGGTTCGAAGTTTGGCTAGCTGATCCTAATTAATCAGTTAATGAAAATGTAATTATGATTCTGATGACAGCATAGAACCAGGGATGCAAATGGATGACTTGAAAGCAGGGCAGGAAATCCCCTGGCTGTGGCCTTTCTCAGAAGGCCCCGGCCATGCTTCCTTGCTTTTCTCTTTTAATGGTTCCCACAGAAGACCCCAAGGAAGCGCTTCTCCCAATTGTTCTTCTCCCTGTAACGAGTCACTGATCCAGTTAGAGTCCCTTTTCCTATCGCTTCATTCACAATGTAAAACATGAGTGGCCTAGGCAGGTGAAACCAAATGAAGACAGGGCTCCCTCGTTATCCTGGTAGGCTTTCCCGGGGCCTTTGGGTTCTATACTGATATTTTAGGCTGCAAATGGCTCTCTATGGCAGGCCACCAACCATGACAGACGCCCCTTGGAGCCATGTGCACTTTAGTTAAAGATTCAGAGCTGGCAGCTGCATTTGTCCTGGCTCTTCCAAGGTCAGCCTCTATTTCATGTTCTCATCGATTACTGCATCAAACTTACACTGGATGAAATGGCAAGGTTCAAACAATACTTCTTCCTTTGTAAAATTAAGCCTTTAGAATCCCCAGGGATGTTTTCATGCTTGCTGGTTGAGTAATACAGAACCAAGTTTTCACATCAATGGTCGGTTTTTCCTAGTTCTCCCTCAAATACCATCCCAAATTCTATTTGCAGAGCCCTCTAAATTCCATGCCTTCAGCCACCACACCAAAGAGCTAGAAGAGCAACTGAGAGGCATGAGAGGAAGAACTCTTCAAGGAATCTACATTAAACAGTAGTTTAGATTTTTCTTTTTTTCTGTTTTTAAAAATCCAGCAGGACTATTGAAAGTACCTCTCCATCCATCCAGACACTTGTTAGACACAGCACAGGGTAACGGCTGCCAGGTTCCTGCTGACACAGACAGCTTGATCAGCAGTTACAGTACTAGAGACAAAGGTACAGACACAAGAGACTGGGCCAACACGCTCACCAAAGTATTAAAAAGTGCTTCTCCAAACCATTGCATGTGTGGAATGCAAATACTGTACAGGTAAGACACAGGGTCACTTCCACAAGGGACACACCCTTCTGTCAGACATTGCTTTCCACATGCCTGCTGTTCCCACAGGAAGAGTCTGTCTGTTCCATGCGCTCACAGTCAAGGCTGACCTCGCTTGTGTCCATGCTGCAGTCCGACTCACTGTCCGATTGGTCCATCTGCTCAAGTTTTGTTTCTCCCTGTGGCTCCCTGCTTCCAGTGGCGGGATTTAGAAATGGTCCCTCGGAGTCAAGCACCCCTGCCTGCCTGGCAGCACACACAACCATTTCTTTGGCTTGACGAATACAGTTGAGCCACTGCTGTTTATTGAAGGTATCATTGGCTTGTAATGAGTGGGTCTGACTTTGGGATCCATTTTTGAAACTGACTCTGAAGAAGTTTTTAACTAGAAATGACAAAGACGTAAAAAAAAAAAAAAAAAATCAATGGTAGGTATTTTTCCCCAGGCCAAGAATAACACTTGTAGTGACCTTAACCCCCCAGTACCCATGGTACATGTTGCTGATTATAAAATATTTCCCACTGATTCAGGACATAGCTCAGCTCCACCTAATGCCACCATCAATCAACTGGAGTTGACACAGGCCTGGCTTTTGGTTGCCCTCGTTACCCTCAGAATGGATATCAGCTTGGGAAAGCTGGAGTTTTGTGTTTCAGGGGACCCCCGAATCCTGGATACCAAACCTATCCACATATCAAAGTTCTTTGGAGAGTTTATCAAAAATACAAATCCTTGGGCCCTACCCTAGAGATTCTGATTCAACAGGTCTAAAGTAGGCCTGATAATCTGTAATTTCAACAAGTGCTCCAAGATAAGAGTGTTTTCCAGTATAAGAAGCTCTTTGTAGCATCAAAATATGCCAGGATCCTCCACATGAGAGTACCTGTACCCTCAGTGTTCAATGATTGAAGAGGTACAGAAAGACATAAAACTGTTATAAATTTGGTTCCATTTAAAAACGAGGTTACCTCGCAGTGACCTCATCAGAAGTAACATGCATTTAAAAAATGGCAGCACACAATATGGCAGACATTTGATCCCATCTAATAACAACATTAACTGGTGCGTAAAGGCCCCTGTGTGTCACATGCAATGCTTGGTTCACAGAAGCACCTGTGGTCAGTCCTAGGTACTACTGCTGTCACCAACAGACTGGAAACCTCTACTTCAGATGGCTTAGAGACTAAGCAATGAAGGCAGAGGAGGACCAAATGTTTCACTGCTACCCGATTGTACCTAGAAGCTAATCCTACTTCCTTAAGTTCAGGCTCTGCCCTTTGATCTTGGGGCAAACACCTTAACTCAGTGATAGGGAATCTTTTAGAATTTTCCACGATAACCACAGTCTGCTGTGGCACACGTGCCATAGGATTGCTACCACTGCTTAACTCCTCTGTGTCTCAGTTTCCTTATTTGGAAAATGGGGGAAACACTAAGAATCTACTATATGTGGTTGTTATGGGGAATAAATGTGATGCTACCTGTGAGTGCTTATACAATGTATGGCACATAGTAATCAAGAAATAAAAGCTTTTATTTTTACTACTGCTACTACCACAGTGGTGGAAGGGATTGACGAGCAAGAAAGAGGCGATCTATGTTAATTACTTTGATAACGTGATGTATGTGCTAATCCCAGAGGTTCAAATGCTAATTCCTCAAAGAAGACTTCCTTGATGCTGTCATCCAAAACAGACCCTATTTTATTCCTAGCTCCTTTCTTGGTTTTAGTTTTCGACCCAGCACCAGGAACATTTATCATTTATTTCCTCCATGACAATGTAAACTCTATAGGGACAAGGAATTTAACTGCTTGGTTCACTACTGTATACCAGTGTCTGGAACAGTGCTTGACATGTGGAAGATATCTGATAGCCATTGCTACCTTAGCTTCTCTTGGTTAATCCCGTTAATAATTCACAAGTTAGAGATGCCCACTGTGTAATTTACAGGATAAATATTCATCCCAGCTGACTACTCTTAAGCCTCTTTAGGCTCAGCCTACCAACAAGTACAAAACCCACCATTATGCAACTAGTGCTCACATCAGGACTCTGATATTAAACACACTTCTACCCAATAGCAGAAGTCAGGCGAAGGGAGCGTAAAGAGCACTAGCGATGGTGCAGTGGTTCACTTCCAGAATCTTAATCCTTAAAGCAACCTTACAAAGAAGGTAGCTTTGTATCCCCTTGGCAGACAGGAAAGTGAAGCTCATGGAGGTTGAATAAGATCACATAATCATTAAATGAAGGGGTAGCACTGAAATGCAGTTTGACTCCAAGGCTCTGGCTCTTTTCTTTTCCCCAGCCAAGTGCTCCCTCCAAATGACCACAGCTAAAACCCTTCAATGGCTGCACCTACTAGACTGTCACCACATACTTCTCTCATTGTTGCTGAAAGCCCCTCGCAGGGAGCCGCCCAGCCTCACTTCTCCGTCTTGCAGGTCTTCCAGCAGGAGATCCTTCACAGGAATTGGCTGCCGGTACAACTGGTAGCACAGCTGCTCATTGTGGGTGATGGCTCGAGTAATCACAAGCACTTCTTGGAACAGGAAAACATGGAGTTTCTAGAAGAAAAGAACCCACAAGATTTCCCTAAGCAAACAACTAAAATGTGGTTGATTTGTGGACCTCTACAGCAAGAAGTCCCCAGGTTCCCAGTGAATTATCAACTCTTACAGCCAAATCTACCTCCAGGAGTACAGAAGTTGGGCAGGCCTGAAGCATTTCCAGAGATGTCTTTCTACAGGTACTTCCCTGGGGGCTCACTGGAGAAAGCGACACACACATACACACGCACACACACTTCTCCTGATTCCACATACATATAGCTTGGTGGATTAAATGCATTTTTAACTCCCATATACTTCAAATCTATCCCTCCTCTACACAAGCACACATTCATGGATTGCTCAGTATGTGCCGAGTTTTAGGAAGTGACACAGCACACTCCCGACTCTAAAAGACTGTGGTATGACGGCAGAGACTGACAGGCAGATGGAGAATTACAGCCCACTCTAGTATGGGCTCCAGCGGACATCTGCACAAGTTGCTATGATAGTAGAAGAGTAACAACTTCACTTCAACAGATAGTTGGAAATAAAAGCTAGGTGGAGTATTTGCAGGTCACAGCTAGACGTGAAGCCAATGGAAGATAAGTTATTTAAAATAAAAACCCAAAAAACAACAAAATCCCCAAATTCAAAAGCCAAAACAGAACCCTGATCTCAAAGTACCAGTCTTTGCATGGGTACCAGTACCTGAGAAGAAGGGTTTCTCATATAGTTAAATGCATTCAATGTAAGACCTATGTTTTTTGGATATTAAATCCTTTTAACAATCTCTTTTTTTTGGTACAGGGATCAAACTCGGGTCCTTGCACTTGCAAGGCAGGTGGCAAAACAATCTCTTTATTTATTTATTTTTGGTACCGGGATTGAACTCAGGACCTTGTGCTTGTGAGGCAGGCAGTGGAACCACTGAGCTAAATCCCCAGCCCTAACAGTCTCTTTAAATCACCCACTTAATTTTTTTCTTTTGAGACATGGTCTCATTACACAGTTCAAGCTGATCTTGAACTTACTAGGTGGTCTAGGCTGGCCTTGAACTCAGGGGAACAGCTCCTGCCTCAGCCTCCCAAGTGCTGGGATTATAGGTGTACATCACCACTCCTTGCTAAATCACCCATTTATTTTCTGAGATCAAAGTAGGAGATGTAGATAGGCACAGTGGCACGTGTGTATTGTCCCAGCTAACCAGGATGCTAAGGCAGGAGGATCACTTCAGCCCAGGATTTCAATGTCAGCGTGGGCAACTCAGCAAGAGTCTGTCCATGAAAAAAAAAATGTAGGAAATATTAACTGCTCTGTATTTGGTGAAAGCTATGATCAAAAAGATAAAAAGCTTGGCAAACTTACATTAGTTTTCAAAATTCTTTCTGAATATATACTGAATACTCGGTCATGACATCTACCCACCATCTATCCATCTCAGGGAATGGAAAAATAGAAAAAACATTTTTGTCTATAAGAATGAGACTCTAGATAGGGAAAGACCAGTAAAAAGGAGGCTCAGATCAAACGGATTCCATGTCAAGAGGCCCTGGGTGAGAGCTGCAAGGAGAGAAACCACTCACCACACCCCGGTTGTTCTTTAGTTCACCATGACAACACAGGACTCTCGAACTGTCAATCAGGGAGTCTTTCTGGCCTTCTTCCAAGTAAAGAAGCCGCTCTTTATAATAACGACATTCAGATTCCCCAGTCTTGGTGTTGATTTCTGCCACAATTCCCTGAATGATGTTTATCTATAGGAAGAAAGAGAAAAATAAATGTGCAGAAAGTGATCACACCATCAATACTAACAAGTCTTAGGGCCAACCTAAACGTTACCAAGATACAGTTGGATCTCAAATTCTTGTATCTCAAGCTACTTCTTTGAGAAAAGGGAAAAAATGCTTTTAATAAATTGTTACTATATACATTCACATATGCATATATATGTACATATTTATTTACACACATATACAGATATTTGAATGACACATAGAATACTGATACATAATTTTAACTGAGAAGAGATACTCGGTAGTGTAGTACACAGCCTCCCAACCTCCCACTACAGGGGTGCATCCCCATGCCCAGCCCCAGCCCTTTTTAAAATTTTGAGAGAGGAGTATCACTAAATGTCCAGGCTGGCCTCTTAACTTTTGATCCTCTTGTCTTAACCTTCTGAGTAGCTAGGATTATGAGTGTGCACCTTTACACCTGGCTTTGTTACCTGTTTTAATACTTTTTTCTGTGTGGATGTCTACCACTGAGCCCCAGCCCCAGCCCTCTTTTTCATTTTTTAGGGTTGTTTTTTTTTTTGAGACAGGGTCTTGCTATGTAGTCCAGGCTGGCTTCAAACTCACAGCAATCCTCCTGCTTCAGCCTCCCAAGTAATCACAGGTTTGTGCCACCACTCCTGGCTTCTTTTTCTAACATCTTGAGGTACAGAAGTAGTTGCTTTTTGTTTATTGGTTTTAATACAGCAAACTTGGTAACCTCTCAACCTGTTAATTTAGCAGATTTTTGTTTTATGCATAATTGTATTGCAAAGTTTGTTTCTTCCTTTCCAATTTTTATTAACTTTTATTTCCTTGTTACCATCCTGAAGAATCTGAGTTGACTAGAACAAGTCATCTTTGTGCTTGATCTTTTATTTTTTATTTTTATTAAATAACTTTATTATCAAACACACACACATACAAAAAATTAAAACCACTTAAAGAAGAACAATGCAAGGGGAAAAAAAACTACAATAATATTCAAATACAGTAGAACTCAACCAAAACAGAACTGAAAAGCACTTAAACATTTCTCCATATAACTTAAAGAAGCATCTCAAGCACCAACAAGACACCAGAGGATATGATTTGTTTCAGAAAGGTCCCCCAAACCAACATTGAACAAATAATGATCTGGGAAAAAAAACCCCAGTTAGCAGACTCCACATAAGCCAAATTTCTCGCTAATTTAAATTTCGATACAGTCATGTGACACGCGATGGAAACATAATCCAAGAAACATGTTATTTGGCAGTTTCATCTGTGTGTATCCTTAATTACACTCTCAGTTTCTCACACCAGAGAAACTATTCGGTATTTAGACATATGTGTCCTATTTATTTCACTTAAGAGTATCGCCTCAATGTGCATCCATTTAGCTATAAATGTCTCTAGTTTCTCATTCTTTATGGCTGA